GTTGCAGAACTCAATGTTAATTCATAAGCGGAAGATAAAACTTCAAGACAAGCAAGAGTAAGCAATACAGATTTCGCATACGCAAGCCTTGCAAACCATCTTGCAAACCATAGTTAATTCAAGGGCTATAGGTCAAGGAAAGGAAAATTGGAAATGCAGATCAAGATCTGATAGACCGAGATCTAGCAAAATGGAGGAAAGTTTAGCCATTGGAAATCAAAAGAGGTGGCAAAATAGAAATTATCAAGTTGTAGATAACAGATCCAAATTTGTAAGCAAAGCAAATGTTGATTGCTTCAGATGTCATAAGTATGGTCATTATCGTTTTGAGTGCCGTGCTAATTTGAATAGAGGAGAAAGTTCCAATTTTGCAAGTTTTATAGACAATGATTATGTTGGAGATCTAGATGACAAAAAAAGCACTTCTAGGTATGTTTTTATGTTGGGATCTGGTGCAGTTTCATTGTCTTCAAAGAAACAGCCAATTGTGACTTTGTCCACAACAGAAGCATAGTATGTGGCAACAACTTCTTGTGCTTGTCAAGCTATTTGGTTGAGAAGAGTTCTAGAAGAACTTGAGATGAATCAACATGAGGTCACTTCAATTTATTGTGATGATAGTTTAGCTATCAAGCTTTCTAGAAATCCAGTTCTGCATGGGAGAAGCAAGCATATACATGTGAGGCATCATTTCTTACGCAACTTGGTAGAAGATGGAACAATTGAGTTGACTTATTACAGAACAGAAAATCAAGTAACTAATATATTCACAAAACCCCTAAAAGTAGCAACTTTTTCAAGATTGAAAGAGTTACTTGGTGTTTGCAGCATACAGAATTCAATTTGAGGGAGAGTTTGCAAATTGCAGACATGGTGTTTCCCAAATTTCTTTAAACTAAAGTCTGAAGACTTTTAGATTAAAGGAGGAATTGTTGGAAAGTAGGTCCTCTTTTTTAGCTATTATCTGTTTTCTAGCCATTATCTATATAATTTAGGAAGATTAAGTTGTTTAGTTAGTTATCATTTAAAATATATTAGATAAATTTGATTAATTATCTTTTTAGATAAAATTATCTTATAAAACATATTTAAATATTAGTTTATTTTTTAATTTAACGTGGTTTGGATTTTCATTCCATCTTCTTCTTCTCAAGAATTCTTGATATTAGCGCCTCGGTGGTAAGCCTGCTTTCTTTCTATTTTATTTATTTATTCATTTTTTAAATCTAACTTTTTGACATATCTGTATTTAAGGAATTTCATTTCATGTTACCTGTCCTTCCACCATGACAAAAATTCCTCCTACAAAATGTAAATAGAAAACAGTGTTAGAGGTTTTTACAGAGTCTAGATAATCACAAACAGGTGATGTGGGATGTCGACGTCAAATCTTAGAAAATTAATTGCTAAAAGTAAAAAAAAAAATGTTTATTCCACAGAAATTAACTCTTTTCATAGATGATGAAGGTAAAGTTTAGACATCCAACTCAAGATGAAACTCAAGAAAAATCTGGTAAATTAGAGAACATCAGCATAGTAATCACATGCCGTGCAAAACAGCAACCTGATGATTGAGGAGAGGGCATGCGTGCATTAAGATCAGAGGAACCAACTATAAGTTAATTTCAACAGGAAGTTCAAAATTTGCAATTAACCTGTGCATTTTTCATAAACCAAATTAAGATTAACACTAAATCAGTGATTCAAGTAGAAACTAAGCGGGAACCAACAATGGAATATTTGACTAAATTCCCAAAAAAAAGCCCAAAAGCAACAAATGCAAGACCAACTTTTGGCGTAAAAGAACTAAAACAGAGAAATATATACCTGAAGAGATGGACAGGAGAAGGAGAAAAAGATAGAGAAGTGCTTTAGTAGACATTGCTGCAAACTCTGTACTTTTTCTGTGAGGAGAATGCTGTTACCATGATGAGATGAAAAGATAATGATTTGTGGGTTAGGAGGAAAGGAAAGGAGGGGCCTTTTTAAGAGGAAAAAGGCAAATCTAACGGCTACATTGAGTGGGGTGTGGAGCTGTTACGGAGCATGGAATTTCTAGTCTAGGGGAGAGAAAGCAAAAGGACAGAGTTGACACGTGATGGCAGCTAACCTTTCTAATGACTGGTTGCATTTGTCTCTGCACCAGTGTGTTCTTTCATTTCTGCTTTGCTATTGGTTTGGTTCCTGATTAATTTCTGTTGTTATCTCTTGGTAGGCACGGGGTGCTCCATTGTCTGAACATTGAGCAGGACCAACTATATATTCTACTCCAGTTTCCAACAATTTAATCTGCATGTCACAAAAACAAGCAGCCCTTTCTTAAGGACTGCAGCTATTAACTAAGAAGCAATATACAAGGAATGTAGCCTGATTTGTGTTTGTTTCTAGCTTTACTGATTAAGATTTAATTAAGTTATGAAATGGTTTTTATTATTATTATTTTTTTATATATTTACAGTTAATGCACATCTCCAAACTAATATTTTTAAAATGATTTTAAGGGTGCACTTCTCAAGTTTACATTTAAGAAAATTGATTTCTTTAGGTGTTGATATCAAGACTAAAATTTAAAATCTAACTTATAAAACAACGTTTGTTTATAAATGAATCTAATTTTTAAAGTTATGAAATGGTTTTCATAATAAAAAACAAGTTAAAAAAAGTCAAAATTGATGATTAAGATTTGATTTCTTAAAAAAGTTATAAGTTTGTAAGTGATAATGTTTTTAAATGAATCAAGAAAAGTGAACTTAAATTTGTATGTATAAGCTGATCTAAAATATCACTTTACAACTATGTTTTATTTGTTTTTGACATGGAACCAAATGGCCTTAATCTTAAAATCCAAGTACATATCTTTAGTTGGTTTAATTGGCATATGAGTGTACACAAATAAATAGTACTAACCATTTTTTCTTTTTTAATTTTTTTGGTAGAAACGTAACTTTTTATTTTCAAAAGGCAAACTAATAGCTAAAAAAAACTTTAACCAGATCTAAAACAGATCGGCATGAAACTGTAGTCCTTTGCCAATGTGCTTTGAAAAAAAGGGACGCGGAGAAATTATGCAGGTTGGACCACATTTGTCAACACTGATAGTCCATGTCAGTTTGATCCTTTCTTCTCTTGCATAAACTTCATTCTGTTATTTACAAAACAAAATCTTCAAGGGCTTAAGGTATCCATCCACTTCAAAAGGGTAGGTTGGAATATCAAAGGTTTTTTTTATAAAAAAAAAAAAAAAAAGGTTCAAATCTTTACGGTAATCTTTTCTTTTTTCTTTTTTCTTTTGTGCCCTAAAAAAAAAAAAGAAATGAAGAAGAAAAAGAAGAAGACACCCTTCTGAATAACTAGAAATGAGGTTGATTTGGTTTGTATTATGGGCGGCTTTCTTGGTATGTAAAAGGACCGAGCTGTGTTACCAATATTGACTTTGGTTAGGATTTCTTTCCAGCAGCGGCTGGCAGGGATGGAGCCAGATTATTGAAAATACTCATAGGAGCAAAGTGCTCTTTAAAATGTGTATGCTAAAAATAAATTTCATGATTTGTAATTTATAAATAAGATTAAGATTTAAATATACAAAAATTAAAATTTTAAAGATTTTTTTTTATGTTGGTTGCACAACGAGAGATAATCATCTTTCATCTCTTATCTTACCTCGGAAGGAGATTACCACAGAATTATTTAAGTCGTTAACAAAATTTTAAAGATTTTAAATGTAAAATGACTTGTTAAACTTTATGTGTATTTAAATTTTAATTTAAAACATAACTTTTATCACAAAATATTACTTAATATGATCAAGATAAAAAAAACTAAATATTTTAAAGAATTGATAATACTAATTTTAAATCAATTTTATTTTATTATTTGATACAAATAATCATTGACTATAAATGTATTGCAACGATAAACATGTCAAATAAATAAAAATATTTTATTAAATTTATTTTACTTATCTAGTGATTAGTAATTTATGATAAGATTTATAAAAAAATAAAAGTTAGAACACATCATTTTATCTTTTTCAAAAGGAGTTTATTTGATATTTTTTTAAGTATAGGACCTATTTAATTTTTTTTAAAAGTCTAAAGGGAGTGAGAGCCCCCCTTGCACTCCCCTGGATCCGTCCCTGGTGGCCGGTTTTGGGCCTATCCCAATGCCTTGTATTTTAAATACTCAACTAACTAGTAATGGGCCAACCACTTAGTCACTTTCTAATCTAAGTAGACTCACTATAGCCGAGAGGGTTGATTCTAGTTAATGGTGAGGAATTTAGGCAAAATAAGTGGATTATCTTCTCTCCTTTAATTCATCATCACATTTGACAAAAAATAAATGCATTATATGTGCACCTGTGACTTGAGAACATTGTGATAGAAAGATAGCTAGCAGTAATGAAAAATTATGAATCAATTACAACTTTCTTTGACCTGGTCTGCTCTAGCATCTTCACAACCTCAGCCATGGTAGGCCTGTTAGCGGGTTCTGTTTCAAGACACATTAATGCAATACTGAATACATTGTTTATCTCATCAATGGGACAGCACCTCATGTTGCTATCAGCTACATGCTCTTCCTTCTTGTCTTCAATAACTGCTTTCACCTGCTCAAGAATATGTTTGGATGTGACGGTCAGCCAGAAGTGGAAGAACTGCTGCAATTTGTGATGTTGGGAATTTGAAAATGGAGTGGGATTTGTGAAGTGATCATGTTTGAGGAGCTGAAAAACTTACCCAAGTTACAAGTTTGGTTCCCTCCTCTAGGAATGCTTCATCCATTGGTTTCTTTCCTGTTAAAAGCTCTAGCAAAACCACTCCAAAGCTATAAACATCCCCTTTAGTCGTAGCCCTTCCTGTATCAAAGTATTCTGCACAAGAATTTTCAGCTGAATGTCAGATGGTCAAGCACAAGAAGAGAAAATTCTCTTCTTCAGAACTTAGAACTGTCTGGTTTATTTTACCTGGAGCCAAGTAACCAAAGGTTCCAGCTACAGCTGTTGAAACATGGGTCTTGTCTGGTTCCATCAATGTGGCAATTCCAAAATCTGACACTTGAGCCTCCATGTTTTGATCCAACAAGATATTGCTTGACTTGATGTCTCTATGGATTATGTGAGGGATGCAGTCATGATGAAGGTATGATATTCCTCTTGCAGCTCCTAATGCTATTTTAGATCTTGCTGGCCAATCCAAAATCCTCTCAGCCTTTAGTTCCCCTGCATCACATGGTACTTTTAGCACCAAATTTTTATTTCATTCTCATTTCTGAGATTTTGCTAAAATTTGGAAGATGAAACACTTGCCATGTAGAAAATTATACAAACTTCCATTAGGCATTAGCTCATATATGAGAAGATTATAATGAGGAGCAGTAAAGTATCCATGAAGAGTTAAAATGTTTCGGTGTTTTATGTCTCCCATTGCTTCCAATTCTCTCTCAAATCCTCTGTCTGCATTTCCCCTGTTTAGTCTCTTTACAGCGAAAGCTGTTGAGTCATTAATCATTAATCTGTAAACTGTGCCACATCCACCCGAACCAATTATGTCTTTGCTGCTTAGTTTCAATGTCTTCTTCAAAAACTCCTCTGATGTCAAAGACTGCAAGACTGGAGACTTAAAGATCACCATTTTCACACCTGTATTTTCCCATATATATCAAGAACCAACAATTTGAAAAGTAATCATGTTTCTTGTTTGAGCTACCATATTTACCTGTGAGACCTTGTTCATAAACAATCTGCTTTCGTTTCCATCTCTTGTAAAGGAGAACAGAAATGATAATCTTGGACAAAGCAAAAGCAATGAGGGATATAGTGATGTAAAGTGCTATCATCCGTGCATTTCCCATTTTTTTCTGCATAGAAAGTCGGAAACAGAATTAGAAAGAACTAACATGGAGCAGGATACCACATATATAGTTGAATTAGAACATCTTAAGTACCTGCAATGAAGGTTTAGTGAAGAAACACAACAGCTGGAAGTTCAAGTCATCCTCATGCTTTATGACTTATGAGGCTAACGGAATTTTATATTTTCGTGAACTCGATCCGACATTGAATTGAAATAAAGAAGAAAATGATGATAAAGAAGGAAAGGTATTGAAAGAAGCTGGCAAATGAAGGAGAAAGTGTATGAACATTGAAGCTCTTTCAACATTTCACGCTTATGAGGACCCACTTTTCCCAACTTCGCGTTTCGTCTGTATCGTTCTGTTGACATTGCATGTCACATCCGGTCAGAACTTGTTTGCTCGTGAATATATATATATATATTTATAAGGGTAATGGTTAAAAAATTAGTAGGAATTAATTCTTAGTAATTGATCCCCAGATTGAATGAATATTTTATCCTTTCAAATGAAGCGTACGGTTACTAGATTACTTTTTGGTGAAGTTCACGATGATAATAAAACTTAAAACTTTGACCACCTCACTCAAACACTTAAGATTTGATACCAAACTATTGAATTTAAAGGGTCGATTCGTTTGCTCGGGAATATGGTATAGTTAAGTATTATTGTTTTGGCCACGTCAAGTGCCTACCCGGCCGTACACAGACCACACATGTTTAGTCTAAATCTTGCTGTTCCAGCTGCGCTGTTTCCATGCCGACGGGATATACATTCAAAGTTGGTTGCGCTGATATCCAGTTTGGACACGAAAGAATGATGCATATATAAATGGCAGATTCTAAATCCGCCCCTCAACTAAGAGCATAAGTATAATTTTTTTTTAAAATATAAAAATAAATTATTTTTTAAATTATTAATTAAGATAAATAATTTATTATTTAACATTTCATATTATCATATATTAAAATTTTATTTACTATATAATTTTTTTTTAACAAAAAAATAAACGTGTAATAACATTATATATTAAATAGTAAGTAATTTATTTTAAACATAATTTTAAAAAATAATTTATTTTTACATTTATTTTTAAAAAAATTTATTTTTATCATATTATTTGACAGGACATTTGAAAGTTTTACCTACATAAATTTAGGCCAAATTATATATATAACTTTAACATCAACTATTGATAATAGGTAAAATAATAACACTCTCATTTCTTAATATTAAAAAGTATGAGGATAACGTGAAACGAAAGCAGGTGTGTCACCCGCTTGTCCAAATGCGGTTAGGCGCTAAGGCTAGGTGGGCTTTTTATTGTTCGACTGTCGCTATATTGTTACCACAAATATTAGTGCGTCCGTGACTCTGCCATCTTCCCGCTTTATTATATGAGGTAATGTCATGTTCATACCAATACCAATTTATTTTTACTAATTTCACAATACTTGATAATTATATTAATTTTTTTTATTAATTTAAAATTAAATTATGTTAAATCTCATAGAGAAAAAGATATTTCAACATTTAATTTTTTATTTATAAAACTTGAATTTCAATGTTTAAAAAAAATTAATTTTTTTCCACTTAAATTAATAATTCATTGATATATCAATACCAATTATATCACTCATTCTGTCTCTTTGATTCATTGAACACGACGACATGACATTTTTTTTAGATGAAACACGATACCGCGTTGATTAACAAATATACATAAGAATACACACCATATGAATTCATGGAGTGCTATTATTTTTACTTTATATTCTAATTGATTTTTTTTTTTTTTTAGTTGTAGAGTTGAACAAAGAACGTGTTGTAATTGAATTCACATCTTGTTTGGAAATATTTTCACATCTATCAAACACAATTGTTACTCGACTCTAGGCTAGATGATTGATCGACCAGAACCAAAATATGTACAGGCATTTCTTCGGTTCAAATCGGTTCAAGCTGCTAACAAGATGGAACAAAATAGAGATATGTAAACTCAAATTTTTGGATTAAATTGTCATTGAAACAAGTTGCAATAATATATATGTTAAAACTTCAAGCTGATGAATTTCCTCTCCATAATTATTTTAAGTCATTGAATATTCATGTCGCTTTTAAGAGTTGTCTACTTGTATTGCACAATCCATCTTTGTAATGAGATGTGTACAAATAGAAGCATGAAAACTAAGAAGGGAGAAAAGGAAAGGGGGGAGCAAAGGACTGTAGAAAAAATTATCACCACAAGGCAGAAGCAGAAGGGACAGGATGCTACGTTTCAAGCAAGCCTAGTGACTTCTTACTACCCTGCATTTTCAAGCAATGAAATCAAACATTGTGTACATACCTTAAAGGCAATGTGATCAGTTCATTCAATAGCAAAGAAAATTGAAATGATGAAGTGAGGTTTACCTTCCAAACCGGGAGAGCTCAGGCTCTGACAACAGCATATCTTGTAGTGTTCTATTCATCTGCCTTTTGTCCAAGCTACGAAACAAAGTTTAAACACAATTACTTCTAGCAAATTCTGAGCAAAAGGGTTCTTGGTTTCAATTTTCCAGTTCAGGCCAGAAAGACATGACTTTTCTCCATGCAGCTTATGTTATTTATTATTTATAATGCTCATTTTAAACAGCATGAAAAAATAAGGCTTTTCTGACCAACCAAATGCTAAAGAAAAGGACATTGATATATAATGAAAATTTAAAAAGAAAGAAGTATGCACGCACCTATATACTGAGTCGAGGGAAAGCAGTCTGTGATGGAGAGCATAATCTCTGCCAACATAAGTCACAATTAAGCTACCTGCATCTGGGTGGGGCCAGCTCCTTGAGATTGGAAATCTTAGTACAAATGTTCCAGGCTCCTGAAGGCCTCTTGGACCTTGAAGTGAGAGTTCTGCTTCTTCCTTTGTAATAAACCCTTCTATCCACTTGGGTGATGTAGATTTCCACATTCTGTTTATGCAATCTCTTGATAATGTTAGAGCAACAGGGAACAACCAGCACCACATTTTCTCAAAGTTCTCTCGAGCCAAGTAATCTCGGCATCCAGCAATTTTCCGCAATACCTCAAAGTCCTGGACAATTATTATCTCATCAGACTCGGTCTAGCTATACCTTTTACAGTCTATACCTTTTACACTGTAAATTTCATGCACTCAAACAACAAGCAACATAGTAAGGAAACTAAAGTTGTTGCTGAGGTTATAAGTTGAAATACATAATCAATCACGCCAAAGATAAGGGAAAAGAAATCAGACTTCATTGGTTTCCTACTTCCATTATGACACTGCAGATAAGTAAAAGGGATGCATTGTGAAGAAACTACTCAAATTAAAAAACCATCGTCTGAGGCACTTAAAGTTTCTGGCAGCTTTGATGGTCATTCTGAAGCTAACATAAATAGAACAATCATTTGGTTTTCCAATTCAACACATTAAAACAATGGATCATGTGCAACATTTCTTAATTAACTGTTCAAGAATAAACTGTTTATTCCTCATCACTGATGATATACCACTGCCCTTGGTCCACAAAATTTCACACAAAAGGCTGAGAATTGCCATAAACAACATACATTTGAGTATTTTAGCAAACCAGAATAGTTATACAAACCTGCTGAGTGAGAGATCTTGTACTGCAGCAAGCAATTCTCATGATTTGCTCTTCAATCTCAAAAACCACACTCTCCCACCGAACTTGATGATTGTTTTGTGACATTAAATTCCAAGCTTTTGTTCCTTCCTCTATCAATCCCTTTGAAATTTTTATTTGATGCCTGAGGAGGGGGAAAGAAATTTTTCACAAGTTAAAGGACCACAGAATTAGATGGTACTAAACATAAATCCCAAGAATAAACCAAAATTAGTACATTAAAGGGGCTAGGGGAAAGTATCCATCAGTTGATAGATCCAATTTTCTGCCACTTAACAGGCACAATGGCAAACATTTCCTTGTAGCTATCATGAACAGAACAAGGACAAGCATTTGGAGAACAAGATTCACAATCTTTTCCTTCAGTTAAGAGAGGAGGTTCCAACTCTAGGAACAAACCATATGAAGAGGTCATCTTCCAATGAGGTAGATATCATGTTAACAAATGAGTCAGCTATACAACTTATATCTGACTTGCAATAAAATCTCTTAGTGAATGCCAAAAATAATAAGAGATGTCATGTAAAAAGAGGTTTTATTAATTTCCTATATGTATCCCAACAAGAATGGAATAAACACTACAATGATTCCGAAAGAAGAGGTTCTCCCAATTACCTGTGATGAGAACACCCAGAGTACAGAGACACCTGATCAGCAAATTCCAAAATTTCTTTATCTGAAGCAGTGGTTGCAATTTCGTTGAGTAAAAGAGACCTCTCAGTCAAGCCTCCTAGGCAGTATCGGAAAATCATTAAATCTGAAACTGAATGTCCAGTACTTGACACGCCCTTCAAAGCAGGTTGTCTTGCTTCAGTGCTCTCTGAATCAGATAAAGAATGGTCTGCTTTTTCAAAATTCCCAGGTCTCTCCTCCAAACTTGACCGAAAATCATTCTCAACCTAATTGGAAAATGTTGATGAAGTGAGCAATCGTGTATGAAAATAAATTTAGGTATGGAAAATGAAGTTCCATATGTAAAAACAATTTCTAAAACCACAATCATTAAACAGGAAAAAAGAAATGTTTGACAACAACTACATGGCTCCTGGGAAAAGTGAAAATGAAAAAGGAATCCCATTAAATACATGATTAGCTGTCCAGGCACGAGAATTGCATTCCTCATCAGGTTGGTCCATTCTTGACATCTTTGCCTCTCCCATTCTGACTCGCTTTGATGAGGGATTAAGTTTTGCTTCATGAACAGTAGTTCGTTGAAGTTCTAAAGATGCATCATCTAATCCATTGGATTGAGATCCATCAAGTGGATGGGCCTCAGAGGTCTTTTTCGAGATAATAGTAGATGTTCTTGTATTGCGACTTCGAGAAATGCAACGAATTGTATGAGAGAACGCCTGGAGGAAATGATACCCCTCAATTTTTGTTATCTCAAATTTAATGCTGAAGAGCCTATTCTCACACTTGGATGAAAGCTGAAATGGAAATATTGAAATCAGTAGGCATTAATGAATTCAAGAAGAATGAATAAGTTTGGCAAAAAAGGGAAAAAAAAGTGAAAAATGAATAGGTAAATTGGTTAATCTCCAATTAAAAATATCATTCCTTATGTACAAATGTTATAGGATCCTATACTAATTAATTAATAGATCAAATACTAAATAGTTTAGTTTCTCAAATGAGGACAGAATTATAGACTCACATTGTGCTGCATTCTGTCTGGTTAAATTAAAGGCTGTTTTCTCTCAGGCCCCCCAAAAAAGGCTATTCTCTTCAAAATTTAAAACTGCTAAAATCATTTTTACCACATATAGTCATGTAACTATATAAAGCATATCTCCAACCTTCAAACATAATTAACAGCTAATTTTCATATATACCCTTTCTCAAAAATAAAAAATAAAATTCATTTATAATCTTTACTATAGTTGCACTCCAGGTGTTTCATTCCGGTCCTACTTAGTCTAAATCCTCTAGACTTTGAAGTTATACTTGACAATTCTAATTTATAGTTGAAACCTAATTGGTATCATTTATTAGAACCAAATAAGTCACATATGCCATACACTAAGGGGTACCATAATGAGTATGTCTAGTGAACCCATCAATAACTAGAGGAAAGATGTAAGTCCATAGTGTAAGACTCCTCTAATAAGAAGTCCCTAGTAAGACCCTGAATGATCCCCATACTTTTCATTACGCCCTTATGCAGTGTTTGTTGTGTTGAATATACATATTGAGCGGATGCTCCTTCTTTCTCTACTGCCCACCATAAGACTTTGCTATCAACCCTATCATATCATAAGACATTATTTCATCACAATTTTATAAAGCCAAAAAAGGGAACTTCGATATTTACTGCCTTCAACTATCTTATTTATCAATTACATTGTATAGCCAAAAGATATTATGCATTTAACTGGCTTTTTGAAAATTTAAAAATATAAATTGATTAATCCACTTCTTCCGCTCTAAATTTCTTACAACTAGAAGGATTAATTGTATGGTATCTAGCAAAAACTAAAAGAAGAAAACTTCTACATTAAGCACATGGTTGAGTCTTAATCTAAAAGAACACAGCACTGCTACTTTCACTTTGCTCTAAATCTGTCATCCCATCTACACATTAAAGAGACAAGAACAGATCAATAGAAGAGAGTTATAATTGAAACTACAAAAAACAAGAAACATCTATTAGTGGGGAGAATTTCTTAAAGTTGAGTTTAAACAGAAGTGAACCTCAAGTTGGTAAAAGATGGAAATGCACGAAAAACTAGCCAGGAAAAGAAGACAATTACAACAATCCAGAGAGTATGATAAAAGCTGAAAAATTCAATTGATGCGCTAATCAAATGAGAATATATATATATATATATATATATATGCATGTATATA